ATATAATATATAAAAGAGTATGGGTATTGCTAAAATGACTCAGTTTCCAAAGATTAACTTAAAAGCCTCACAAATTTTATAAACTCAGGTTTTATTATCTCAGCCTGGATAATCAAACTTTAGGGTTTATCAGCCTGTTAACTTTTTAATGGATGTGTGCATATAGCACATTTAGAAATAAATTAAATGCAGCCCACACAAGCTAAAGGGGTATAAAAARGCAATAAACACTTCAAACTACAAGATAAAAAAACTAAATGAATAGGTTTTAAAAATACAAGAGAAACTGAAGAATTCTTAAACAATAAGATTATGTTCTCTGCAAYCCAGTGGTATAATATTCTAATACCATTTTATCTTGTTGCAATGAACTTCATTACACAAACTCATTTTCAGCTTCCYGAGGCGAAAACACAGCTGACTCTTAACACAAACTGAAGGGATGTTAGGAGGAAAATCCCCAAAATGCAAAATAATTTCCACTTAAAAAGAACCGTGTTTSTCAATGTGTCTGTTTCAGGCTCGGAAGCCAGGTTACTTCTCCTTCCTCGACCCGTTCTCTCCGGCCGTCTGGCTTTTCATGCTGCTGGCTTACCTGGCCGTCAGCTGCGTCCTTTTCCTCGCCGCCAGGTGAGTCACCGGCCTTTTCACGCCTGTTCAGAACATCGCAGCAGCCGTCTTGAGCGAGGTTTGTTAAAAAYGCAAAAATCTAACTTGAAATTAGAAATAACGCAGACAAGAAGCTTGTGTTCAGAATAATAGAAGTTACCTTTACTAGTCAGAAAAAAAAACATTTTATTGCACCTATATTTAAATGTTATAATCGGAAGACTTAAATGTGTTATTCACTTTGGAAAGATGCTTTAAAAAAGAATAAAATAAACATTGCTGCTGTTGTTTTATTGTCCATATTTTTTTCATATTTAGGAACATGTTCAGTTAATTTTMCTCCTCTCTAGGCTCAGCCCCTATGAGTGGTACAACCCTCACCCATGTTTACGGGAGCGGCGGGACATCCTGGAGAACCAGTACACGTTGGGAAACAGTCTGTGGTTCCCAGTTGGTGGCTTCATGCAGCAGGGCTCAGAGATCATGCCTCGGGCGCTGTCCACCCGCTGCGTCAGCGGAGTCTGGTTAGTACCAAGTACAAACTTTATTGTTTAAGTAATGTCCGTCTGTAAAATAATCCAAACCTACAAAAAATGTTATCTTTATTTGCTCTAATGCAGAACTCCACAAAAGTGGATTTGCTTTCTAAGAGCTGTCAAAACATCTCTTGTAGACGGACCTATTTAACCATGAAAAAATGCATCAAGATCATGTGATCCTAMATTCTTGATGGGAAATCCCAATGGCTGTTGGAGCAATAAGGTTCTTATAATCTGTAATAGGCATATACCCTTAAACAGAGATTCTTAACCTATGGGCCGCGGCCCATGTGGGTCATGAGCGCCACTTTGAGGGCCTCAAAAGAACAACAGTTTTAAACTTTGGGCCGCAGAGGGCCGTGGGACTACATTGATTTTGAATGAGGTGCAATACACTTTCTCACCACTAGTAGCGGTAGTGCACCACTCAGTTGTTTAACAAGTTTTTTATGTAGAAGAAGAACCTTAGATACCTGCTGAAAATGGAAACGTATTTTAAATGAAAAGTAGAATCAAAAATGAAAGTAACCCGTCAAAAAAGGCCAAAGTTTGTCACTAATATGAAGAGCAGCTTCTGTTTCTACCGTGCAAAAGTTTTAAAAGGCTACATTTTTTAGTAC